ATTAGCCTGGATAGTATAGTATATTATTTATGGGGAATATAGTTTAGCTCATTGTTCGTAGATTAATATCCTAGATTATAGTATTATCCACAATATAAAGTTCGGGCTATAAACCCATCTATATCACGAGGTGCAATTCATTCTAAAGTCTCAACTGTAGTCCGGGTTATAGACTTATTCATAGTCATACTCTACAAAATTTAGCCAAATTAGTAGGATATAATACTATTTACAAACTGGATTATATTACATAGTTCGGACTATAGATCCCTCTAGTCCGAATTATAGTCTTGTTTATAGTCAAAACTTTATATATCTCTACAGCCTGCAATAGAGTTTATATATGGAGAACAATTTAATCTGAACTATAGTCTAAACTAAAGTCTGCTCTATAGTCCTTTCAATTATTTGTAGTCTAAACTATATTCCAGTCTAATATAAAATTCAGAATATATTATCTTATCTAGTATATAAGTATTATGAAATATAGTCCGTACTATATTCTAGATTATTGTCTATCTATAGTCTTGTCTGTAGTCTATACTTTAGCCTGGATCATGTTCTAGTCTAAGGACTGGACGATATACAGCCTGCAATAGAGTCTATATATGGAGAATAATTTAGTCTGAACTATAGTCTAAACTAAAGTCTGCTCTATAGTCCTTGCTATTATTTGTAGTCTAAACTATATTCCAGTCTATTATAAAATTCAGAATATATTATCTTATCTAGTATATAAGTATAGTCCGTACTATATTCTAGAATATTGTCTATCTATAGTGTTGTCTGAAGTCTATACTTTAGCCTGGATCATGTTCTAGCCTAAGGTCTGGACTATAATCAAACCTCTACTATTTACTTTATAATCTATGACTTTCACAGTACTCTGTTCTTGAATATTTTTTACTGTTCATACTAATGGTGGTTATATACACAACCCCCTTCTATATTGGTATTAAATTGCATATACATATACATAAGTATGTATATGTGTATGTACGTGTAGAATTTTGTACTGTAGCACTTACATTTATTACTCTCTAAGACTAAACCAAAACAGTGGCAATGGTTACAGCACAATAATAGCAACAACGAAAAAAAATATTTAACCACAATAATAACAACTATAATTGATAACAAAACAAGAAACGAAACGAAAACGCGTCCACCAAACTAAAACGGAAAAACAGAGTAGTTTTAGTTTCTTTTTTTTTTTTTTTTTGTTCACGTTTTTAATGCTTTTTGCCAGTAAGAGTATTTTATTTCTTTCTGTTTTTCATTACAATTTTTCTTTAAATGGCAACAGTTGTAACAAATTGTTTGTTACAATGGCCAAAGGCGAGATATAAGTGTGTTTGAAAGAAAGAAAACAATGAGTGCACAGAGCTCCTACTGCTACTAGCGTAGTAATATTTAGTTGCTAGTATAAATATTTTAGTTTTAGTATGGGAATTTTCAGTAGTAGCTGTAGTAGTAGCATTAGTTGATTTTCACTAAGTTCTGGTGTAAGTGAGTAGTGGGTGTAATATGAAAAAAAGCAAAATATCAAAAAAAAAAAAGCTTAGTTATTTGTGGTTCATTATTCAGTTTTATTTATTTTAACTTGTTGTTTTATTATTTTTTCCGTTTACATTTGTCTGAGTACTAAATAGTCCGTCTGTCTATACAGCTGGCTGTCTATTTTCGTTTCTAGTTTTATTCAAAAGGATATTTTTTTTTTGCTGTGTTTAACTAAATGTTTATGTTAGTCTGTATTAAATCTTTTTGCTTTAAGCTTTGTTTTATATACATTTTTTTCTATTTTTGCAAAAACTTTTCTGGTTCGTTACACTGGTCATTGTATAGTTTTTATGTTTTTCTGCAAAAATATTTGTTAATGAAATAAGAGTTTTTGCATGAAGAAAAATTATAAACAAATTGTGTAATTAGTTTAAATGTAGAAAAACAAACATAAACGTAATTATTTTAGTTATTTTCATAATAGTATTAATATGAACTTAAATTTTTAAAACGTGTAGTTTTTATTCTTAAATAAATTGAAATCACAGAAACTTTGTTTGCTATTTTATATAAAATTCTAAGAAAATAAACACTGTGGAAAATAGTGCTGTATATATCCAAAGTGTCTGCAAATATTATATACATATAATCAAGAATTTTTTTGCTTAGTTATAGTTTGAGGGAAGTCGAATTAGAAAGTGATTTTAAATTTATGGGTTAGAGTTAGAATATCTAAGGCCACTACTTAACTAGGGTTACTAGGCAAAGCTAACGAAATTTCTTTCTTTTTAATTTTATTTTTTAAATTTGACTAATTCTAGCTTAAGCTTCAATAATCTGGTTGGCTTCTTTGGATAAAAAGTGCAATATCAAACTACAACAGGGAGTTCACGTACATGATGCTTGGGTACAAGTGGCGCCATAAGCACAACGTCAAGCAAGGCTCTAGAAACGTTGCACCCATTTAAACACATTTAAGAAATCAGGCTGCACTTACAACCAAACGGCTCATAACTTTAGGTGAACTGGCCAAAAACGGTAAGAGGACACGTCATCAATGTATACTGGATACATTGAAAGGCCATAAACAATCATCGGATGTGCCTGATTGCATACCAGACAGAGAATATGTCGGAAACTTTGAAACACTGAGCGCAGATGGAATGTTTTGGCAAGCGGAACATTTCTCACGAACACTGATTGGAAACTGAGTTTCATAACATTGAAAGATAATACATTCAGTGGACACTATGTTGTTTTTTTTTACCAACAAACCTTTTCCTTCCATGAAAAGCAACGCACAGGCCTGATAATGGCCTATTTCTAATACATTAATAAATACTGCGATTTTCTTATATAAAACAGTTTGTAAAAACGTCTACAAAACAGGTTTGCTAAACATCGTATATATCATTGTAAAGGCCTCAGCTTCCACGTTTAAATCCGTTGAGAAAATAGGTTGAGATTCAACTAAGTTACTGATTTATTAGTATTAATGTACGAAAGCAGTTTTTTTATCCGTATCTTAAGATTTTGAAGGCGTTTGGCAAATTTTATTTATATTTTATTAAATTATTCGAATGAAAACATTTATTTAATATTCGTTCGAATAATCGAATAATTTTTAAAATTTAATCGAATGAAAAAATATAGTACATTTTTATTCGAATAATTTTAAAAACGGATAATTGACAACACTAATACATATGTAGGTACATATGTATGTACTTTCTTATTTGTTTTATTATAATTAGTGTTGTTGTGTAAAGTAATATAAAAAGCGTAGCATACTTTATGGCATTTAGTAAGTAAAAAACACATATGCGTATGAGTAACATACAACATGTCTTAAAATAAATAATACTCATACGTTTCAAAAAACAATTTTAAAATAACTTTTTCCAGAGTTTCTATTCTACAGCAAATATTTAACTAATTTACAATATAAAATTGATAATAGTTGACTAAAATTTAAAAGACTAACTAAAATATTGTCACCAGAATATATGAAAAATTTTCTTAGCTTTTAACAGAAGTTTAGTATTACCAACATTTAATACTTTTTAAAAATTCCTCTTCAATGCTAGTGGCTTTCGCAAAAATTCAACTAGATGCAATAGACAATTTATTTAAGTGGTTTATACAGCAAGCTATGAATAATAATTCATTATAATTTAATATATTTTTCCTTTTATTATTTATTTGGTTAAACACAAAACCAAATTTTAATAACATTAAAGAATGTTCAAAAAACATTTCATATTTTTATGAATTTTTTTTTTACTCAGAATACAATTTTTTCATAAAGCAAAGAAATATTTGCATATTTATATGTAAATTTATTTAGTTATTTCATTATTAAAGTTAGAAATGCAGAGTAAAAAATTCAGTTTTGTTGAATTGAGAAATATACTATTTAATGAGGAAATTTTAATAAAATTAATGAAAAATATAACAGACCAATGGTGGAAAATTTTCGTAATTCTAGTATTATTTGATGTACTGATTCCGAAAAGTACATTAAAAAAGTTCGTATCACCATTTTCCATATTTTCATCTTTCAGATCTCGTGACATGTCTCCCAAATATTCAGTTGCAGAAGTTTCGAATACTGACCAGAGAAAAATGATTTTTAGAAACATTTTACCATTAAATTATAATTAGCAATATATGTAATTTGAGGACTTTGGATAATAATAGAAAATTATATATGTATTAGTAAAATTGAATAATGCTAAACTATAAACTATTAAATTCCAATCTTAATTTGAAGAATTTGTATAGAAACTTTTGCATAAATTTTGAAAACTGTGGTAACCAGTACTTAAAAATTTCATAAAAAACTACATAAATTTAGATGTGTTAAAGATAATTAAAATTCATAAAATTCTTCCAAACATTGAACGAAATGACATTCTGCAATCAACTCATAATATGATACAAAGTCGATTGAATAAACGAGTATTACTGGTATAATACCTTCCCCCTTGGAATATACTAAATTAGGCTGTATTAGAACCACAAACAAATTTTAATTTCAATTTTAAAATTATTCTCTTGCTACCCATATTTAGGTAAACATTTTCTATGTTTACATCATTTCATTACTCTCATTTTGTTTGTTTCGAATGACCCCTCCCAATAGAACACCAAATTTTTTCCCCATATACCAGGTGTTTTTGGTTTTATATGATTTTGCTCAGTGACAAGTCCTAAATTTTCCATTCACAGAAAGTTATACAAAAATGTAAATGAGATTTTCATCTTTTTTACTTTTTTCCATTTATCAGTCTTTTAGATGAGATTAATTACAACACAATATGGTTTTAACATAAAAGGCACATATGTGTACGCACATACTAGTAGGGACAAAAAAAAAAAGGATAAGGATGCATACATTTCATACAACAATCATTAATGTGTGCACGTAGGAGTGTGTCATATTACCGGAAGTATATAAGGATATACATATGTACATATGTTTATAATTTACTACTTACCAGTTTGATATTGCATCGACATGACGAACATAAAGCTAAACACAACAGTACGTAGTAAACATTCCAGCTGTTTGGTATTTTGGTAGAAACGTTGTCGTAAGGGAAATGCTTTGCAATATGTTGTTGCTGCTACTGCTGCTGAAGTTAAAGTTGATAGTTCTGTTGGTCTAGTAGCAGTAACAACAGCAGTAGTATTCTCAGTAGTAGTAGCAATATCATCTGTGTGTGCATGATGGATGGTGGTGGTAGTTGTAGAAATAGTGTTGAGTATTATGTTGGCCTTGTTAGTGGTGGAAGTGGTGGTATTAATGTTGGTATTTCTTGTATCCTCTTCAACGGTTTTAGTTGCAGGGGGATAAGTAGAAGCAGCATCTGTACTACTAGCATCAGTAATATTGATATTTATGTTTGATTTGTTAAAAGTGCGGATGTTGTTGAAATTGTTTGTGCTGCTACATATATTCGCACTTTTGCAGTGCTGCTTATGCTTATGTTGTTGTTGCTGTTGTTTCTGTGTACATTTTTGCTTTGAGCCACATTTTGAACTAATGCAAACATTATTGCATTGTTTTATTTTACTTTGTGAATTTTCCACAACATCCCCAGTAACAGGAATTGTTAATGCTTCTGCTGTAGCAGCAACAACTAATTCTGTTGTTGTTGTTGGTAGAAGTGATGATGATATAGATGATGATGATATAGTTTCCAGATTTCGTATAATTTCTGTTGGGTCAGTAGTGCTGGCAATTGTTGGCCATAGTTTGAGTTGATATTGTTGTTTGCCAGAATTTATCGTTGAGCTTCTCTGATCTATATTCTGTTCTCTTTGTTTGACATACATGTTTTTGTTTATTGTTTTACTTGCTGTTGTCTTATTTTTTGTGGTTGTTGGTGTATTCGTAGCATTTGAAAATTCAAAATATTCCTTTAAGGTCATGTGTGTTCGTTTCAATGCCTGCTGAGCCATTGTGGATACTTCCTGTTTCGAAACTTTACTAATAATTGTTTGCTTTCTGAAACTAGTTTTTGTTCTATTTCTTGGCTGTGCTTCAGCTTTTAATGGTGAAAATTCTAACATCATCAGTCGGGCGTTTTGTAAACTTTTTGCTTTATCAAATTTATTACTTTTTCTGCTGCTGTTATGACTAATGATAGTGTTGGCAATATTTTTTGAATTAAATTTGTTGTCTTCCCTCATTTGCTGTTGTGTTATAAAATTTTCATTTTGTTTATCACACGTCATAGTTTTTTGTCCGTTTAAATATTTTTATCTCGGGTATTTTTTTTAAAGATGACCTCTGTTTTTTTTCTTATATAAATAATTCACTTTGAATGGTTTTTTGTTTTACACAATTTGCTCAATAGATGTTTAATTTATTTTACAATTTTTTTGCAACAAACTCTTTTGTAGCTATTGAATATATTATTATATATATATTTTTTTTGTTTTGTTAATTTTTTACTTTATTTCCATTCAAAATATATGTATATATAAAAAAACTTTTATAGAATTTGTTCACTTTTCATTTTAGCCATTTTTTGTTGTTATTATTTGTCTTTTTCGTGAGTTTTAATTAATTTAGTTTTACGAGGACAATTTATGCAGCAAAAAGTTTTCGTTGTTTATCAACCTAAAAAGGGAAAAAATAGAGTTTTTGTTAAATATTTTAAAAGTTATAAAACTAAAGTTATTATTTTTTAATATGCAAAAGGACGTAACAGTAATTTTTTGTTTAAAATTTAAAATGAAGTGTATTGAAAATCTTTAAAATCGGTGCATTATATTACTTAGGTCCTATTTCACAACCGGACCCCTAAATAATTTTTCAATGTTAAAATTTAAAAAAATGGGCCTTTATCACTTCTTTTTCTCTTGAAAAGTAAGGTAACAAAGTGATAGAGAAAAATCTAAAAATATATTCGACCTTAACTTCATAAAAGGCCTTCCTCCGCAAATCGGCTTATGCTGATATCATTAGTGATACTGTAAATTATATTAATAAAAATTATATTAATTTTGGCCATTTAAAAATTCAGCGAAATACCAGCTAAATCGTATAAATTTATAGACTTTTTACACAATTTTAAGATGATCGGTTTTTTAAAACACAGATGACAATAAAAGGCCTTTCCGGCGTTTCCTAGGATGAATTGATGATCTGAGACCACAGTTTCCCATGAGTAGTCCCGTTAGTATTCTGAGATCACTTTTGTCAAGCGATAACATCTTTTGGGTTGTTTCCAAGTGGCAAACAAATTCCAATTCGACCCACGATACCCATCTTTGTCTGACGTAACCTTGTGGAATACCAAAGAATGGTTCAGTACCGATAAATGGACGATGTCTGTCTTTCCTCATAAACACAACACAATTTTACAAAGAATGGCTTATAAGTTTCGTCAAAATCGGAAAGGGAAACGTATAAAACCTGTTCGAAAATGTTTAAAATGCCCCAATAAACCATATTTGTAGATAATTTCTTCTCTACACTTTCATTTTTGGTAACGCTGTCGTGCTCTCAGCAAATAAATGGACAGATGGACGGAAATTTCTAAGTATATTGCTTCAGAATATCATAAGAAACGCGATTGTATAAGTCTATGATAGATCACGTATGAACCAACCGTAAATACACTTTTTATACCCTACACCACTATAGTGGGGAGGGTATTATACGTTTGTGCTGATATTTGTAACACACAAAAATATTGGTCCTACACCCACCTTTAAGTATACCGATCGACTCAGAATCACATTTTGAGTCGATTAAGACATGTCCGTCCGTCTGTCCGGCTGGCTGGCTGTCCATGTAATCCTTGTGCAGGCCGCATTTTTCAAGATAATTTGGACCAAGCATGTTTTTTGGCACAAGGACGAAGCCTATTGAAAATGGTTGAAATCGGTCCATTATTTCACCTAGCTCCCATACACCCGTACCTCCCGATTTGGGCTTTTTATGCCATAATTACGTCAAATATGCTACTATCTCTCTAAAAATTGGCACAAATAAGTTTTTAATGGCACTGCAGATTTTCGTAATGATCGGCCCTTATTTGACCCTATCCCCCATACAAACCCCCCTTCAAAAAATTCCTTAAACGTCTAAAATTGACTTGTAACCATTTGTATCGCAATGAAACTCAACATAATTAACTATTATTTAAAAATAAAAATTCAAATTTAATGAGGATCGGCCCATGTTTGACCTATACTCCTATATAAAGCCTCATTTAGAAAATTTGTTTTTTATCAATAACGGACATAGCTAAATCGACTGAGAAAGTGATTCTGAGCCGATTAGTATACTTTAAGGTGTGTGTAGGACCAGTATTTGTTGATGTTACTATCATCAGCACAGACTAATAACCACTATAGTGGTGTAGGGTATAAAGATTGGACATTATGACAAGCTCATATCAATAGTGAAAATTATATTAATGCAAATCAGTGTAGCCAATTTAGCCATTTCATTGCTAAATCTAGCACATTTCATTTAGCCATCAAAATTTTAATTTTGCCATAAACCATTTTTATTTTCATTTAGCCATTTGAAAAGTCAGCGAAATACCTGCTAAATCACATATAAAGATTCAAACATAAAGCCCAGGACCAATATTTGTTGGTGTTATAATCATCAGCACAGACTCATAATACCCTTCCCACTATAGTACTGTAGGGTATAAAAATTGGACATTATGACAAGCTATACAAACTTCATCGATTAATTTAAAATAAATTTCATAATATTTTTCATTTCTAGGCCTTTCATAAACTAGTAAACAACTAAGATCTAGATTTGGATATGTAACCGCAGTGCACCTGTGCGTAGACAATTTGAATTTTTATCCAGAAAAACAATCTCGTAGCTATGGTGATTAAGTTTAAAAATAATTTTTGCCTAATTTGTTCTAAAACATATTTTCTAACTATGAAATTTTTATTAAAATTTCTTTTAAATTTAATTACATTCTTAATATTAACACAAGTAAGACCATATGATACCATTTATGAATGTTAGATGTGATTTATTTTTCATAATGAAGAATTTATCTTGAATATTACTTTGATTCCGATTTATTTAAGCAATTTTTGGATGAAAAACTAATTTTCTGAAACAGGCTTTATATGGGGGGCTAGGGCAAATATGGATCAAACCCGATAAAGTTTTGTGAATATATTTATATTTATATAATATTTATTTAATATTTATTTGTGCTGAATTTCATCGCGATATTTGTGTTTATAAGTTAATTTTGGGCATTGAAGTAATTTTCTGAAGGGGACTTTGTATGGGAGCTAGGGTCAAATGGGGGCCGATCTTTATGAAATTTGGCGAGGTCATCAAGACTTGTATAAAACTTAGTTATGCCGATCTTTATCAATATACAGGTATATTTAACATAATTATGAGCTCAGAAGCCCTTTTCGGGGGGTTCTGTTGTATGGGGGCTAGGTGAAATAATGGATCGATTTTAACCGTTTTTGTCCCTGGGCCAAAAAAAGTGTGTGTGCCAATTATCTTGAAAATTGCGACCTGTACCTTGCGCACAAGGTTTACATGGACAGCCAGCCAGCCAGACGGACGAACGGACATTGCTTAATCGACTTAGAAAACGATTCTAAGGTGGGTATAGGACTAATATGTTGTATGTTAGAAACATCAGCACAAACCCAATATACCCTCCCCACTAAAGTGGTGTAGGGTATAATAAATATATTTTATTTAATAACTTGAAGCGAATTATTAATAAAAACAGGGCGAAGAAAATTATAGAAGATTTAAAATTTATTTGTTCATTTTAAACAATTTAAAGGGAAATAATAAGTCATAGGAAAAACTAAGAACCACCCTTTTTAAATATACCATTTTCCTAATTGCCTCAACTTGTTGCATTTAAAATTTAAATTACTGTAATTTGTTGCTGTTTTTTTTTTTTCTTCTCTTAAAGAAACTAGTAAACACAGTTATTGTTTTAAGTACACTTAGTACTATAAATAATTATACCTTTATGAATTGTTTTCAATAACTAAATTTACATACATATACACATGTATGTATGTGTGTTTGTTTTTATATATAATATTAAATTTCACTTTGTTGCTGTAGTTTTATTAAGAAAGCGTTTATTTTTTTAAACTATTATTTTGTAAAATATTATTTTTTTTATTTTGCAATCTTTAATATTTCAATAAATGAACAATTTTTTGTTGTTATTTGTTTATCTATTTTTATAATAAAATTATTATTAAATACTTTTTTAAAAAATTTGTTAGTAGCTTTAATTTATTTTTGAGCTTTTTAAAAAATTATTTTATTATTTATTTTTTATATTTTGTTTTTAGTTTTATTTTGTTTTTAATATTATGTACTTTTTGTAGGTTTCAATAACAAACTGTAAATTTTACTTTTATTTGTTGATAATTATATTAATTATATTTTATTATATTTATAAATATGTATAACAAACTCCAATTAAATACATTCATATATAATACGTTTTTAAATTTTGCTGTAAACTCTTTTGTTGCTATTCAGTTTGTGTTTATTTGAATTATTGATTTTTATCAATATGAATTTATTATTTATATTTTTACTATTTCTTTAACACTCCCTCTAATTTCAATGATTTTTAGGTTTTACACACACATACACTTGTTGTTTGTTTAAATCTTAGCATTTGCTATAAATTCCTTGATGTTGTTGTTTTTATTATAAATTTTCTAATTTGATTTTTTTGAAGAAAATATTATATTTTCCTTTTGTTTGTTTTTTTTCACTTTATTTTTATAATTTGTTTATTTATTTTTTTAACAATTCTTTTTTCTTTGTTATTTTCAATCACACAATAAGTAAATATTGTAAAAATTACACATATTTATTATATCTTAAGGTTAAAGAACATATAAAAATATTTTATTCTGCGTGGGACAAACGACCGACAAGAAATGGTTGTGTATGCGTGTTGTATGTTGTATACGTCACGAAATCTATGAAACAACTGACTTGTCAGACCATTGAAATACAACCAACAACCAACTATTCAACCCAATTGAGTTCAGTTCAGTTGAGTTGAATTGAGCTGAAATGTAAAGAGGACTAAACAAAAATACGTTAGTATGTACATGAACACTCTCTATTTCTCTCAGACACATATACTAACATACTCTCAGACATTTATACTCTATAAAATGAAATGTTTTCTTTTTTTTTTTGCAGACAATAACAGGAAAAAGTGGGAAATTTTTCCGTTTCTTGTCGTAGTTGAGCAAATAAAACAAGTGGAGAAAAAATCATGTGTTTTTGCAGGTTTGCTGTTAATATAAGCTGAAACACACACATATGTACATAAGTATGTTCATCCTGTTTATACATTTTTTAGAGGATTTGTGTTTGTACTAAAACTATGCTACTCATTTTTTGTTTGGGTTCTTGTGGCATACGCAGATTTCAAAACAATCCAGCCAAGAATAAATTTAAGAAAATAAAATCCTTTGGGATATAAAGGAAAAAAAATTAAAAACGGTTTACTGTAAACAGGAAAAAAATTCCCAATATTTTGTTTGAATTTATTTTAAATATATAAATACATGTATGTAAGTTTTTGTATTAAGCAGTAGAAAAGTATGTTTATTTGATTAAATACAGCACCAAATTTGTCAAGAATTTTTTTTGTTTACTTTGCAAGAAATTTGTATGTGCGAGAACTACTACATATAAATAGAAATTAACATTTGTATATGTATGAATTTATATACATTTAAGCAAATTTATTTATTATATTAAACATAGAATTGTAAATCTAATAAATGCTATAAAATCAAAATAAATAGAATATTAATAACAAATTTTAAGCTTTAATAGTTTATATTATTTAGTTATGTATTAATATTAAAGAGTAAAAGTATGAATAATATATGAACTGAGGAAATTTCGCATCAATTCTTCAGAATTTCTTAACTGAATTTATTCCACAATTAAACTAAACCGAGAAGTGATTCATTTACTAGAGCAAGTAATTTTTGTGGAATTTAATCTTAAACTGATTCTGGTAAAAGTTACATGAGTTAAAGTTACCATAAGTCTTTTACGGATATTTTTCTAAAGAATATCTTTTGTTTGCTATTTTTAGCCCAGATATGATAACTAAAGTATTTTTCAGACGAATACCTTTTGTCAAATATAGACCGCCATCGATATCGGATTTCTTTGCTGACATATATTCCCTATTTATACCCTCCACCACCATCAGTGGAGATAGAGGGTATATATGTATAAGTTTGTCGTTCCGTATGTAACACCGAGAAATATTCATCTAAGACCCAACAAAGTATATATATTCTAGGTCCTTATCAAATTCTGAGTCGATGTAGCTATGTCCGTCTGTCTGTCTGTGTAAAACACGCTCACGTTAAAACCAAGCAAAAGGAAATCAACCACATTCACGTAAAATATTTATTATTATCCTAAGCCGTTTAATATTGAAAATCAAAAATTTTAGACTATCTCGAATAAATTACGCTTTTTTTTCATAATTTTTTTGAAGTTTTCTCAGAAACTACTTTCGATGAATTTTGTCACATATTATTTTTTAGGGTAGTGATCAATTATGTTCAAGATCTTTACAATCGATCGAACATTTCCCATAGCCCCCATACAAAGGACATATTCCCGGAAATTAGTTTATCGTTAATAACTTCCTCAAATATATCGGTATCAACACAAAAATTTGTACATGCAAAATCATACTGTCAACGTAGATCTCGGTCGGTCTACAATTGGTCATAGCATTTTCAATAGGCGTCGTTCTTGGGTCAAATTCAAATTACTTTGAAAATTGGGACCTGTACTTTGACAACAACGCTTACAACGGACAGTCGGACGGATGGACGGACATCGATGGAGCTGCTTTCGTTGGACAAAAGACATATTAAGAGACAGACCTGGCTATGTCGTCTTGGAATCTATTAAGAATCATATCAATCAATAATTTTTTGGTGATGGGTATAAAAATTAACGAAATTCTCGAACAAACTTTTAGTGCAAGAATTGAGTAATCAAGTATAAAATTCTAATTTTTAACTAGTAATAATTAATTTTGGGATTACATTTATCTTACAATGCATAGTAAATTGCAATCTACTTATTATTAGTTTGTTTAGTTGATTAAAAATTTATTTGACAATACAATCGATTTAAATGAAACGATAACGATAACGAAATTGTAGAAGTATTGTTATGTTAATTTGAACCCTACCTGATTTCAGATTTTAAAACATTTTAGATAGAAGAAAATTGTATTCTTGATTTGAGTTGCATTTGTAGTTGATTTTATAATACTTTATAAAGAAGTTCATATGTTCATACACATTATTGTTTAGATTCAAATATTAATATCATTTGTCAAAAACTCAACTACTTTGTTTTTTTACTTGGAGATTCTATGATATAATAAATTTTTTAAAACGAATAATTATTCTTGCTCCAAAATACCTTTTGTACAAAATTTCAACGAGTATTTATTTAAACTAGAGAAAGCGAATACGTAATAGTATAACCAATTCAAAAACTACCTTGCAGTTCGACAAGGAGTCAATGCATACAAAAAAGACAATGATTTCCACTAACGTCTAACCATCTGGTTGGCTCTAATTCGTCTTTCGTCACGGATGTAGTTCTTTGTAAAGAAGGGTGAGGGACACTTTAGTGTCCCCTTTTTAATCGTAAACTATGGGGTGACGATTGGCTTTCTCGTAGGACAAGCATATGTTAAAATATCTAGTCACCTGTACAGTCGGTGTCTAGGTGTAACCCTAAGTGGTAGGTTAAATAGGGAGTTCGGGACAGTCCGACCGAACTGCTGGGTAATTCTGAACCGTGTTCTAAAACATAATGTACTCCTCAGTATAATATTCTAAATAACAAGTAATTTTATGCTTTTAATATACACACATACATACAAAAAGAACAATTTATATATTGACTCTTTTTTTCAAAAAATATTTTAGGAAGTCGAAAATTATACATCTGATGATTGGAATACATATGAAAAATATTAATAATGAATTATTTCAGTGGAAACAGTCATCATATCAGTTGGTTTTATGTTAGTAATACGTAGAAATTCTATTAGCATTTTAATATATAATGTAATATTATATTGGTATAACACGTTTCGAAACTGTATAAAATTAATACAATGCTTTATTAAATTCTTCAAATTTTACAATTTTTTTAAATTCATTATCTGATTACAAATTTAATTTATTGATTTTCTCAAATTTGTACAAAATAAAACCAAAATGTATCAATTATTTCTTAAGATACCAGCTGCTTTTTCTCGTATAATATGTATTGTAAGAAAACTTTTTTAATTTTGATCTATGTAAAACATAATAAACAAATTTCTTGGTTATGATATAGAAATTTGCCTAACCTTTTTCGTAAACAATTCAAATATGAAAAAAAAAAAAAACTTTAAGTAAATGTATATTTTTACCCACTTATTAAATTTATCTATGTGGCCTGAAACATGAATAGAAAAAGGAACATCCTCCTTGCCGCACTTTCGGCATGATGTTGTATTGGTCTTGAAGAAGAATGAGAAGAAGAACGAAACATTAAGGTTAATGTTTTCTATAAGTGTCTGCCAATAAATTGATATATGGAATGAAAATAATACATGCAAAAAATACGACTAGGACTAGTCAAATTAGGATAATGATGTACACATGTATATTTGGAATAAACTTATATACATTTGGTGTTCGTATTTACATGGGCGTGTGTATATACATAGGGAAAATTGTCTGTGAAATTTTAAGAGCAATCATTGTATCCAATACATAGTAGAGAGTAAACATGACAGCTTAGTAGCACACATCTGTCAGAGTTGGTTCAAGCTTATGGCCAAAGTACAGCTAGAAATATGAAAAAACTTTTGGTTAAGTACAAAGGTCAAATTGGTCATGATTCAAGCACAAAGAAAGAAAGCATTCAGATTTATAATACTGCTTTTGCCATTCCGTTTGTAGCAAATCGAAATATTGGTCATGGACCCATAAAAGTATGCATATTCTGAGTTCTTATTAAATGCAAAGGACTGAAATTTTAAACAAATATTTTCTATTGATGC